GTCACTTTCATTATTTAATTGTTCTACAAGATTTTTGCCAGCTTCATTGCATTCTTCATTTTCAACTGACATATCTGTATCGAGTTCATCTTCTAGCTCATATGTTTCATTCTCCTCTACTGGTTCTAAACTTTGTATCAATTGAATCAGATCCTTATGTCTCCAGAAAGGTGGAGATCTGTAACGTTTAACTTCATTAAAGAAGTTGGATCTTATTGGACAAACGGATTTCACCAGATGCTTACAGAGAAGAAAATAACTATAAGGTAAGCTGGGCATGAGCAGGTCTACAGTTTCGGATCAGTGGTATATGAATTACCACTCAATGCTTTTTTTGAGCATGTTTTCCAATCGCGTTTAAAGGCAGGGTGCCATGATATTGTTGTTCTTGTTTTGGAATTTGATTTAAGATCTCTTATCTTAATAATATAGCATGGAAGGAAACGTTCAACAAGAATCCATACTAGTAAGTCAATACGTGGTTTATTAAATTTATTAATATAATTATGTTTAATAAGCCTCCAATGTGACTTTACTATCATCGTTGTTTTTAATATGAAAATTTCTTTTTTTGCACTCTGTGCCTAGGTGGACCATTTCAATAAAGTATACTACTCCACCCATAAATCTGACCATACCCATTCAAGATCATTATCTTTGCAGTATATATATATTTCCATAACGGCAGCTTCGCGAATTTGATTAGATGTATAATACTGCATATCATCCACAGGAATATAGGGGTGCTAATTAAAATATTTTGTTACAAGATTAATAATATGGCTATGATGTTCTGGAGGACAAAAGGTAAATGCCATTTTTTATTTTGTGGCAATTCAATTATTTCATTAGCATTATTGAAGACAATATCAAAACAAAAATTAACATCAATAAATGAAAATTCAGCATTTGCTGAATTTGCATGATATCGAGTTGTCTTTGGTTTTTTTTTTAATTCTAATTGTCTTTTTATTGCCCATTTTAGATGCTACAAACAAAGTTGAATGTAAGCATCTGGCCATATCACTTTTACTGCTGAGATTTGTGCTAAATCTTTATCAGTCATAACAAAGGTTGGGTTAATTCCTACGTGAGACAACTTCTTAAAAAAGTGGATAATCATTTTAGTATGAAAGCCATCCATAATTGTAGTAGCCGTAGTCAGTAACATATAGGCTAATGGAAATCTCATTCCATCCACTTTGGCAAGTACTGAATATAATTCGAGATTCATCTTATTTGTATTATCTAAATTATAAAATAATATTAATTGTTAATAGAGTTTATTAAAATTTTTTAAAAAATTAGTTACAGTTAACTCGACTTATAATGAACTAGCAGTTCTGGAAGGAAAAATAGTTCATTATAAAAAATTACTATGTTTTTTTAAGGACTAATGATGCTTTCTATACTGAACTATTATGAAATTTTAAGGGTTTGAGTTTATTATTTCCAGAGTTCGTTATATGGAGATTCATTGTATTCAGAGTAGACCATATATTATTTAGTATTGCGTGTTAATTCAAATTTTTAGCTGGATAAAACTTGAAAAATTTTAAAATTTAGCAAACCGAATTTCTGGCAAGAAAGTTATGGAACATTGTATGTGAACATAATTTAGGTAAGTAGCTTTTGATTAGGAATGTTAAGTAGTCTGACCAGATGATCAGAATTTATATTAAACCACGGTTTTCAATGTAGTGACTAGCTTGTTAAACTAAGGTGGTTAAATGACTTAACATTCCTACTTTTGATATATAGAAGTTTTAAAATTTTTAAATTTAGCGAAATCCAACCCCAAAGGGCAAGCATTTCAGGGTTTAAGAAAAGACTTAACTGGCAATACCGATATGAACACATACACATTGCATCTATACCAATCTCAACTGTATTTACACTGAGTTGGTTAATAATATCCTTGACTCCAAAGCTAATCATAGTAACTTCGCTATCTTCAACAATCAGTAATATTTCAATATCATCATATTGTTCAATAATTTTAATTACTAACTGTATTTGATTTTCATCTTTTTTCTAGATATGTTAATTGAAGGTCATCCACCAATAATATACCTGCTTCTCAGTAATATTTATACTTCTTGCACCAAGATTTTCTCAAATATTTCGAGGAGTTTGTTGAAGGTTTGTTTGAATATATTCTTTTATTTCATTTATGACATGTATATCAACATATTCAGCATGATATTCGTAAGTTAAATCGATTGTAACTTGTAATTTTTCCATGTCGACAGTGAGTATTAACCAACTCCTGCAATGGAACCGTTGCATCGGTAAACGATCTCTATGCTTTGTGGGATCTTCGTGTTTTTTGGATTTTTTTTGCAGTCAAGCAATTGGGCACAATGATATCTAAAGATTGTAATATTATTTGATTTCCGTGGGGTTGGTTTTTATAACTTTATCCCTTAAACCGTCAGTGGTTAGCGGGCATATTTGGCTGCTAAAATGTTAAAATTGTTATGTCTGATCTATTT